CAAGTTCCAAATTTTCCTTTGGAGGGGTCTGTTCTTGCTTCTCCCCGTAATCGCCAAACAAGGTCGCCAACTTTAAATGTTCGTGGCCTGACCTTGGTCTTGCTTTCCTTGTGGTTTGTCGCGAATTGCCTTGTGGAACTCGGCATGCTCCTCCATCTGGATGTACCCAGCAACGCGAGCTCGGAGCTCGTCCATGTTGGGAGGAGGTCGTCGGCAAAGGCTGTCGACGAAAGGTCCTGGCTTCAACGCCATGAGCATGGAGTGTAGGGCCACCTCGGGGTTCAAGTTTCGAATCTTGACCGAGATACTGGCAAAGAGTTCCATGAACGTCCGTAGTGGTTCGTCGTCGCTCTGTCTGAGGCTGGCCAGAGCAGCTGACGTTATGTGATGAGGTCGACTCATTGCATACTGCACTGTGAACCGTCTGACCAGAGTGCCGAAGCTGTCAATCGACTAGGCAGGCAGCTGGGTATACCATTTGAGCGCAGCCCCCTTAAGCGAGGTCGGAAAAACTCTACACAGAAGGCCCCCCCCCCCCCCCCAAACAATATATATATGTGTGTGTGTGTGTGTGCGCACTATCTTTGAATCAGAAAAATGATGAATCCTCAGGGAATGGCATGGAATCACCAAGACAAAAAAAAAGGCCCACAAGATAAAAATCACCAGAGCAAAACCTAAAAGAAGAATATCATAAGGGTTTTCAGTACCAGGTGTGGCATCAATCAGACAACGGCACTAATCAGATAAAGAAGAAAATAGAAGAAGAGAATGAGAAAACATTTCCAACCTATTTCTGGTTTGGGGTTTTTGATACACTTGTTTTGGAATAAGATTCAAAACTTAAATTGAAAATAAACCCATCACACAAGTTCTTTTTTTTTCCTTTCAGTTGCAAAGATGGAGGTGTGGGAAAGGTAGGGGATAGTGACAAGGAGAGCTTGCTGAAGCAGAAGTAAGCAACTGTTTCTTCTTCTTTTTTTTCTTTTGAAAAAGAAGTTTTAAAATAAATTTTAGAAAATATATTTTAATATCAAAAAGTGAGAAGGGAATCAAACACCCCATTTCCAGTTTCAGAAGTGAAGCAGTCCCGCACTCCACACAGATTTGTGATCAACTTGAGAAAAACTTCAAACAACACAACAATTGTACTCTAATTTCCCTTTATTATCTGAATATCATGCACGCAAGTTATCATCTACAGCTTCAGAGCTTAGATTGCTAATTTTCTTAGTCAATCCGCCGTTTACCGAGTCAAAAACAAGTTTTCTCGAAATATCACAAACCATAACCATCGAATCTCTCTATCGAACACAACAACGATCTAATTTCGCCAGAAAACAGGGAATTCTTCGAACAATACATGCATGAAGTCGGAAAAACGAAAATAATCTCGACATTCGACAAATTGTACATAGATTTTCATCATTTTCAACGAAGAAAAATCTCAAACGCATTGTGAACTGAGAGAAGAACAATTTGAAGCAGAAAAGAGGTAGAGAGAGAGAGAACAGTAGAACTTACAGTGAAGAGAGTGAAATGATCGGCACAGTGAAATGTGAAACTGAGAATGAAAAATGAAAACCCTAGTGAGTGGCAGTAATAATAACAAAAATCCATCGAGAATCATTTGGGTGAGCAAGGATCACCTGTGTTGGCGCTGCACGGGTCTTACGGTGGTATTGGTTGAATCTAAGGAAGAGTAAAGGCGGAGAGGTTAGGTACTATTTGTAGGCCAATGATTGGTCTGATGGTGAGTTATAGAGGGGTGAATTTTGTGCGCCGTT